AAAAAAAAAAGCAAATCTAGGTCTAAAATTTAACAATATTGCTGTTAATTTTAATTCTTGTACTTCAAAGTATATTAAATTGTAGCAGATGAATGTTCTTTCTAGTAATTTGATAGCATTAATTTAACTGAATGATTTCACAGCTGAAAGCCATTATAGTGCTTTCATTTCTTGACTCTGGGAAAATAAATATAGGAGGAATTCATATTATTGCTAAATTATACAAACACTATTGCTAAAGTCTGTATGTTGCATTTCTATGTAGGCTAGGAAATCAATATTATTATATCCAACTACTTTCTGTTGCTTGTTATAATTTTTATAAATGTTCATCAGATAAAACCAAACATTGAATTTGGTTTTATCATCATTTCCCTCATTAAATCAAACAGCATTTGGTACATAAGTGGTCCTAATAAGTACAATGAGTAATAAATAAATGGATTAGTGAATGAGTGATGGAGATACACCAATATTAAATTTGTAACAATAATTAGGTCATGCAATAGATAATGCTTTAACATCCCTTTTTCTAAAATATGCCTAGTAAGTATGCATATACCAACTTCAGATATCATTTTAAATTATTAAAATATTTAAAATATTAAGAACCATATCATATCCAAGTTATGAAGAGATCGCTTTAACATTTTTTAAATTAGTTTATCCTGTGTTCTTCTAATATACCCGGATAATTGAAAATCCAAAATTCTTCACAGTTGGAGGCAGTGAACACGCTAGCCATTTTTCCTTTTGTATTGTTCCCTGGTTCCATTCCTGAAAAGTTATTTAACCCTTTCAGTGACACCAAGATATTTAAGAATGTAAATCTAAAACACATTTTTTTCTCTGTCACAAATACCCTTCCTGATCCTCCTTCCTGACAATACATGCAAAGCCTTCCAAATCCAAATAAAAGAATTCATTCCCGAATCCTGAGTGACCTTCAGGAATCAGCACAGATCATACAGAAAAAGTCAGCTGATAGAGATGGGCTGCATTAAGGTGCTAAGTCAGAAAGAAGTGAATGTTTTGATTTGAGAATAAAGTTGAAACTGTAGAAAAGATTATTTCCCTTCCATTCTGTTTATCAATATGAGTAAGTAATGCAAGCCGCATACTTTTTTTTTTTTTCTTTTCAGGAAACAATGGCATTTAATTCTTCTCTTCTGAGACCCCGAGTGATTGGAGAGTGGATTGGTCGAGAAGAGAATGATGCTGATCCACTAGCTGCTGAAATGCTGCAGCCGCCAATTCCCAGAAGTAAAAATGAGCAATGGGAAAGTGAAGATAGTGCCTCTAGCCCTGCAGGAAGGTAAGATTTGGTGTTGTCTAATTTTCTGAATATTGCTAATCATTAAAAGGTAAAGGGAAAAGAAACTCAAGTACATGCTTGTGCTTGTCTTTTTTTTTTGGGGGGGGGGCAGTATATCATTATCCTGTATTGTTGTATTGCCTATAGAACTTTCTGAGAGAAGCCATCTTTTATACATTGTACTTCTCTTTGTGAGAAAAAAATTGCTAGTTTTTACTGACATATCTTTCCACATAAAATTTTATTTTTTTTTAAAAAAAGATTTATTTATGCATACTGAGTTGGGGTACAGGCCAGAGGTGCAGGGGCAATGAGAGGATACACCAGAGACCAAGTGGGGAGCAGAACAGGCAGATCCAAGAGGTACACTAATGTAGGAAGCAGCGAGCAGGTCAGATGTCTGCTGCGCTATGTGGATCACCTCCAGAGCAGATGACTGAACTCATGCTGAAGTGGTTTTAGCTTCTCAGTGCTGTGCTTTAACCCGCTGTGCCACCAGGGAGGGCTGAACATTTATACAGAACTGAGTTAACATTGATTTAAATTATTGTTTCTATTATAGAGCATAGGTCCCGTCCCCACCCCCCTTCAGGTAATTTTGTCATATGACGCCCACTGCCAAGGAACACATAGTCCACCACTATGGACCCTTGTGCTCCCTCCCATCTTGCCCCACTTTCCCTTCCTCTCCTGTCCTGGATGCTCCTACTCTGCCATCACAATCTAGGGTTAGTTTGTTTTTGTTTTTTTGTTTGTTTGTTTGTTTTTTAAATGTGATTTTCTATGACTCTTTGTGTTAGTCATGATTTTTTATGAAATAAATGACAAAACTTTATTGTACTCCACATAGGATCATAAATTACTTTCTCATTCAATGGTAGAATGTTATTAGATTAGCTTTTTTGTTGTTGATTTTTTTTGTTATTGTTTTGATTTTTTTCTTTATTTCTAAGAAGCTTATTATCTCTTTGCTACTGAGAAGTATGTAGAGAATAATTTCAAGGGCATAAGCTACCATTTGAAAGCTACTGGAATACTGGGTAGGGGAGATTAACTGTTAAGAATTGCAGAAGGCAGACTTTTGATGTACTAGAGGAGTTATTCAAAAGGGTTTTTGAATGTATAATAGATTATACAGGGTGGAATTGGTGTTGTATAAAAAACCTTGGTTTAGAAAAACATTTAGAGTTGGTATTTAACATTGCCTATCATTGTTTTCTTTGTTTAGTCTTTAAGACTGTTATGGTTTGTAAATTTCAAGTCCGTATTTCATTCTACTCAGATCTAGATGCACAAAATAGGGACACTTTCTAGGGATAATTTTGAAGTGTTCAAATAATACTTATAAAAATGTATATTCAGAATAACGATTGTGTTGGGATACAATGTAGTAGCTTTCAGAGGTCTTTTCCTTTGACTTTTCCCTTGACTGGTAGGAGGAAGTTCAGAATACTCATTGGTGTGCTTCAGGCATATAGATAATTGATTCTATTTCCAACAGAAATAACGTTTAAGTTATTTAAATAGTTAAAGTGTCCTATATAAAGTGAAGAAAACTTTTTTAAGAATCCATTTACCTTTTTTTGTGAAATGCCAGATCAATTTCACTTGTCAATGAGGGTAATTTTATATTTAATTTCAGACTTATGAGTCCTTAGACATTTTTCTTTATTCATTGGTAGACTTTTAGATCTTAAATGTAAAAGAGAAATGTCAGCTTTTCATTTTACTTCCATTTAGTCATAATAATAATAATCAGAACTGTTTATTACAAATGTTAGTATATCTATTTTCTTCTTAGCTTCTGTGACCTTCTTGAATTCCTTCTTGAATACCTAATAAAGGGGGATTTTTTTTTGCAGTCCTAATCAAATTCCATATTCAAATATTTCAATCCTGAAGATCTTTCAAATATTTGCTTAGATAATGTTGTTTTCAGTTTTATTGTTCTCTAACTTTAAACTATGACTTAAGGCATCACCTATGAAATTATTATAATGGAAAATCCTGCCCAGATATCCCATTAGAGGAGAACAATAATTGTGTCACTAAACTAAAATTAACAGAAATAGACTATGGGTAATAAACTGTATCTCTCCCAATATCTAGTAAAAAAAACCCACATTTGTGAATTTATTTTGCTAACTCACACAGCACTAGATTTGATTTGGATAAATAAGAACAGGATGAGAGGAATTTTTAATGAATCTGTGGCATCTGTGGCATCAGTAATAGCTTTCATCCCAAAATAGAAATGAACTTTTATCATAATCATTAACAGATTAAATGATATTCTAGACTCCTGAAAGAGAATTAATTTTCAAGCATCACTTCTTCCATTTTTTTCTTCTCCACTTGAGTTGATGCCTTGTCATTATCAATAGTTATCTGTTTGTAATTGGAGACGCACTAATCTGTCAGTAGATACCTTCTAAATGCAGCTTATTTATAAGAACGATTGTTGTTGATAGACTATCTTGACTTTTGCCATTTTTCCAAATTTTTTGGTTAACATTGTTTGGTACTCAAGCCTTAATTGAATTATTGCAGCACTGCAATTTTAGTACATAAGCAGCTTTCTTTTTATTCAAAATAATGCATATGTGATAGGTTGAACTTCCACCACTAGAGAAAATAAAATATATAGCATAATCCACTATGAGTAACTTTGTGCCAACAAGTTGAGAACTTAGAAGAAATGGATAAATTCCTAGAAACATACTACCTGAAATGACTGGATCGTGAAGAAACAGGAAAATTGAATAGACCAATTATTAGGAGATTGACTCAGAATAGAAAGTCTCCTAACAAAGACCCAGGTTGGATGGCTTTACCAATGAAGTTTTGTGTCTTATGGGCAGGAATTTATCCCTATAGGGCCCTCACAGGTGGTGCAACCCTTAAAACGCAGTACTGTGAAGTTTACACAGCCACTTCAGCATGAGTTCAATCCTGGCAAGTGACCCACATGGCTGGCAGAACATATCTGACCCACCCACTCTCTGCTCAGCAGTGTACTTCATCAATCTGCCTGTTCTGCTCCCTGCTCTCTGGTGAATCCTCTCACCTCTGGCCTACTCTGCACCTCTGCCCTGTACCCCAGTTCTGTATGCATAATAAATAAATCTTTAAAAAAAAAGAAAAGAAAGAGATTTATCCCTATATATATTTGTGTGTGTGTGTGTGGAACTCTTTTTATTTTCCCTTTTAATGGTGTAACTTACTTCAGTTTTTCCCCTTATATCCTAGAAATACAACAGTTTAACACACCTGTCACCTGAAGGATAGACTGCTAGTTAAAGCAAAGGAAAGTAAGAGGGCAAATGGAGAAACTAGTAAAATAGGATAAAAGTGACTAACATGGAGCTCATAACTCCAACATTATTTCCAAATGAACTTAAGAGATCTGTGAATCTTTAAAATTATATGCAAAATATTTGTATATGTTCACATGGACATTTTTCTGCATTCATCTGCCACATCTTTCGTATGTTATCAAATCTGTTCTAAATTCAGATGGCTTAGGAAAAAAATTAAAGTATTGAGAAAAAAAGTAATCTATTCGGGAGTGATAAAAGGCTTTCTGCCATGTTAGAGCCTATGGATTCACATCAATTGATATGACTTCTTTAGTATTTCATGGGAAATATTTATTGCATTGGTATATTTAGGGTTGGGTCCTCCCTGGTGGCACAGTGGGTTAGGATACAGCACGTTATGCTAGCCACAGCAGCTTCAGTGCAAGTTCGGTCCCTGGCCAGGGAGGAGACTCACATGGTGCAGCAGACCTCTCCTCTTGCCTGCTGCTTCCCTCAGCAGTGTACTTCATCAATCGGCCTGTTCTGCTCCCTGCTTTGTCTCTGGTGAATCCTCTCACTGCCCCTGCACCTCTGGTCTGTACTCCAGTTCTGTATGCATAAATGAATAAATCTTTAAAAATATATTTAAGGTTATTAAAATAATCACACATTTATGATATAAATGTAAGCAAAAATTGAGTTTCATAAAAATGTAATTCCATTTTAACTCATCTTAATTGGGCATTGTAATAGCTAGGTAGTGAATTTTCTAAAACTACTTGGTAAAAAATAATATGAATTTGTAAGTAGGCTCATCGTGTCTTGAAAATCTTATGACTCCTCTACTAAAGAAACATATTTAATGATTTATTTATACATACAAGAACCGAGTGAAGGCAGAGATGTGGAAGGTGAGAGAATTCATCAGAGACAGAGTGGGGAGCACAACAGGTGGATCTACTGAAACAGACTGCCGAGATATGGAATAGAATACTAGAATTCTATTTTTATGTTTGGTAGTTGTGCTTTTTTAAAAAGTAGGCTTTTTTGATAATACAGTAACCATTTAAAAATAATCATGTTTTGGTGGAATAAAAATATACATTTGATGTATGCTTATTAATATAAAGAGATATTTTCAAGATAAAGTATATTGTATCAAATAATTACTTGCCATTTTCTCCTTATTAAGCCATGTAGTAAGCAAGCGAGACCTTTTCCAGAATCTATATAATAAAACTTCTTAAAACTATAATATTTTGAGAATTTTTATTTATTCCTATAAGAGAAATTTGCTTTAGAACTATAACTTTTTAAATATAAAAGCTTAAAATACAGTTTAAAATAAACATGTAGTATATGAAGTTACAACATAAAATACAAACTACTGAAGAAACACTAATTAATTGATTTATTGCCTACTACTGTTCTGCCTATACTAGCCTTATTTTATGGTCAAATCACCATCTGTAGTAGGTGTTACGAAATTTGGATTACAGAAAAAATAATCAAGGATAAAGGAGATTAAATAATTTACCTAAAAGTATTCCTCTTGTAAATGGAGTTTTTTAATTTCATATTCAAAATATATATGTGTGCATTTTCTTATAATAAAAAGCTAATGGAATTAAAGCTACATATGAATCTAATTATTTTAAAATAGTTTTATTTCAATAAAATAAAGGAGAAATTAATTTCAGATTTCTCCGTGGTAACTTGTGTTCTCTTTCTAATTAATAAGTAATTTATCCACTCTTTTCCTTAGCATGGTAGGGCTAGTTAAGAATTCCAAATGAATATTGTATTTGATTTATTTCTTTACTTCTCAAATGAATTAAGTTGATGAGGGAAGACTTTTAAATTCGTATTTTATTTATTAGTTTAAAAATGCACACAGGATAGTGAGTCAAAAGACAGATGCCAGGGCAAGCATCAGCGATATAGTTGGTGTTCCTGGTTTCATCTTCCTTTGCAACTCCACACCTAGATTTCATTAATAGGATTAGTGAGAACATTTTTTTTTTAAATTAGAGAAATGAAATTTTTATTAAGGAATCTCATTATAGTATATTAAAATAGTTTCCCATTGCATGTATTTTATTAGACAAACTTGTTTTGTTGATCAGGGAATTTCATATAATAATTTGGACTTTATAGTTTTTAACAATAATTGGCAGGAGTTGATTAGCACCATTTCCTTTAAATGGGGGCAGGAATGAGAGTGTGCCATATTCATCACCCATACTCCATAGGAAAATTGTTAGTGAGATAAAAGATGTTTAAAAAGGTAATCAGCTTCTATTTCTGTTATCCCTAGAAAAAATTTTACTATGCCCATGTATTTGCATAGCAAAATAATTGAATGACAATATTTTGTATATTTTTAAAATTTACAGTGGCTAATTGTGTCATCATTATTGACAATTACATTTAAATGTTTCTTCAGTTTAAAGGTGGAGCCCAAGAGTAAAGGATTAAAGCAACAGCAACAGCAACATAAGAAACTTCTGGCAGCAATGCTTTCTCAAGATTCCTTTGAGTCTGTCCACAGCCCCACCCCATCTGTAACAGAAGAAGATATTGACAATGAAGATGATGCAATGGAATTGCTGGGTAATTTTAAAAATTAATAATTTCCCTTTTTCCTCTTCTCTGGCATTGTAAAAATGTATAGTGATTAAGTGCTTTTTAAATAGTTTTGAATAGTTTTCTTAAAGAAACCATCTAAAACATACTTTTATTTATATTAGACTTTTTTTGAATTTGCATGTAAGAACTAGGTTGAAATCACATAAGCATGTGAAGTATTTATTAGACTGTATTTTGTGCTTTGTATATGCAGCACTTTACTTTTAATTATTTAATCAAGCTTTATTCTGTGTGCAATTGTGATAAAAATTCAAGTCTGTGCTTTATTCTCTGATTATAATTGCTTTGATCACATCTTTTGTCTATAAAATGTATCCAAAGAAGGTGTTTCAGTTCTCATCCACAAGTGTCTCCCTGTTATTTCAAGGTTGTTTCAGATAGAGAGAGTAAAATTTAAAGGGGCATATGGTAAATTCATTTTCTATGTCCTCCATAACTGACAGGAAAGTTTGCAGAAATATCAGTGTTTTTCTAGGTCCATTGCTTTCATGAAAATTTTATCAATGTATATATATATATATATATATATATATATATATATATATGTAAAACATAATTTCAATATTAGAAATACCTTCACAGTAATTTTTAAAATAGAAATACCTTTGGAAAACCATATTTTTGCCCAAAGAGAAGAAAAGAAATTTTATTAAACACAGTTGTAAAAATAAACACACATTTAAAAAACTTTTTTCCCCCCCTAAACCAGATATTTTGGTTTTAAGTATCTGTAACCATGGAATGCCACTTATAATAAATGGCAGATTTCATGTGTAGACCTACATTGGTCAGTGATGGCAGGTTGACTGATGTATAGCTGCATTCAGTCCAGCCCTCAGAAGGCTGAGTTACAGTGTTTTCTATTCATACTGTTCATCTCTCCCTCTTTTTTTTTTTTAATTAGAATAATTAAGTCGAGGTGCTTTTTTAGAAACTCTTATCTCCCTGCCTATAATCATTAATATTGCAAATGTGCCAGGTGCGGTGGTGTTACTATCATTTACTTTCCTTTCAGCAAACTTTGTGCACCTACTTACTATATGCTAGGCATTGCTAAGTATTAAACTCAACAGATTATTTATTTAAAAATAAAATGATTTTTTATGTTTACTTTGGGTTCAAGTCTTCCAGATAAAAATGTAAATTTGAACTCTGGTAGTATGTGCTACAGATGCTAATTGGATTAAGTAGAAAGTAAAAAGAGAACTAAAGTAGAAGTAGGGGCCAAGGGTCAGGGAATATTCCTTCAACAAACGGATTCCTCTGCTGAATTCCGACGAACAAGTAGATGAATGTTCAATAGGTAGAGTGTGTTCATTAGCCCTGTGTGTTTGCTCTACTGGGAGTGGACTCTTGCAGCTGTACTCTATGGCAGTGCCTGTCAGTTGTTCCTGTATTTTGATTAGTGACAATAAAGGGGGATATCTTTGAGCAGTGACTGTCAATGCAAGGACTTGGATGTTGTCTCAATAACATCAAAATTGGCATTATAGTATAGTGACATCGGATATTGTCACTATCCTCCTCTTACTCCTTTCTTTTAAATGACTATTCATGGTCAGCTGATGCCCCATGAAAGCAACTATATTCTAACTGACAAAGATAATCCTTTACAGAAATTCAGGTATGCATAGAATCACTTTTGGGAGATAGTGCGAAATTTCAGTAATATCTAAGTAGAGTGGTCCATCTCATACAACTTCAGTTATATGAAGGGATTCTTTATGGAGACTGTGGTATCCAATGACAGTACCCCATGTTTTCCAGCTCCTTTGTTCTGGTTTCTAGTCTCCCAAGCTAAAGATCAAAGATTGAGATTTGGAAAACTCCCAATCATGAATAGCTAATAATTGTTCTCATTAATCATTTTTTTTTATTTAGAGTTTTAACTTGTAGTTTGAGCAAATTTAATAACTAGAGCTAGCTAGCAGTTTGGACTTTGTCTGTGTAACTGCACATATCTCAATATAGGCAGTATATTAGATTTGTTCTCTTTATTGTGAGATTTCCTTGCAATAGCATGTAATGTTGTAAGACCACTGGGTTATTCTCTAAAATAATGGTTATATACAGCTTTCCTTAGTGCCTCATCTCAGTGAGCAATGTTTATGTAGTAGAAAATACCTCCTAAGTATTGTTTACTTCTCAATTAAGTAAATATAATTTGGATATGAAATATGTTTGTTTTTAAAGCTCTTATATTCTAATTCATTATCAATTACTTAAAAAAACATGTATTCAATATATAGTCCTGGAATTTTCTTCATATAAAAATACATGACTTATAACATTAAATATTTAATCTCTCATTTCTTATATAAAATCTAACAGTTGTGCATGAATAATTTTAGTTAATACAAAATTTAAGAATTTTTCACTCAGAATATAGAAGCATATACATATTTAAAGTATGAGTAAAATATATTATTATGTATACAGGTAAAATGATTATTAAGTTTTTGGTTTTAATACCATATATCTTCAATAGCTATGTAGATCAGTAGTCCACTGGACTTCTGGTTTTACACTGATCAGCTGATACAGTGCTTCTATCTACCATCTCAGTCTTTTAAATATTTTATTTCCATTTGTTTATTATTACAGAATTTCAAGATAATATATTTGAAATTATTTATAGAAAAGCATATGTGATTGTGCCTAGTTGATGAAAATACAAATAAGTTGTTGAGAAATTTGAAATCAAATTTTAGTACAAATTTTAGAATCATTGTAAAGTGAAACAAAGATATCTGGTGTTTAAAATAGCTTTTCAAATCTACAACTTTGTGTAGAATGAGTTCACTATAGCTCATTTTTATGTATCTAAAAAATATGCATGGGAAACACTATGCTTTGTAAGGTGATAAGTAAAAAGTATAATTATTAGTTAGTGTTAATATAACAAAAGATTGATTATGCCTTGGTAAATTGGTTGTTTTGAAGGGAAAATGTTTTTAGTTAAAGTAGAAGTTAGTAAAGCTATTGATCGTTATTTTTGTTTTATAAGGTACATAACATTGTCAGGATATCTGATTAACATTTAATGTACTATTCATCTTATACTTTTTAAGTAGACTAAATCTTTTATCTAAGTTTTTTTTTTTTAGTATTACCTTTAAACTTTTCATCAAAAGTAACTTAATATGGGACTAACATATGTGAGATAATAAAATATCCTAATTTGTAGACTTTTAGGATAAAATAAACTCCTCTGAACTTGGTACTCTAAAAGCAGAAGACACTGAATAAAATATCTTGAGGATACTTTATTTAAACTAAGTTCATAAACTCAAATAAAAGTTATTCTTAATATATTGGTAATTGTGATAGAAATTAATGATTACAAAGATAAAATAAAAAATCTTCATGTTTTAAAGTCATTAAAATCAATGATTCTAAAATCAATGGAAAGACAAATTATAGTGGTAGGAATAATAGATTTATAAAAATCCTATATATTCCATTGACTTTCATAGGCAATTTGAGGAATTTTATTAATTTGAAAGATATTTTAAGTGAATTAAGTTTAGAAGCTGAAAAACAAGCTCTAACCTCAAAAAGAACAAGTGACTGGATTAAAACCACACTCTATTGACTTAACATCAAAGTAGATGCTATTATTATTATTTTAAAAGATTTATTTATTTATGCATACAGAACTGGGGTACAGGCTAGAGGCTCACGGGTGGTGAGAGGCTTCACCAGAGACAGAGTGGGGAACAGAACAGGCAGATTGACGATGTACACTGCTGAGGGGAGCAGCGGGCGGGTCAGGAGAGGTCTGCCACACCATGTGGTCACCTCCAGGACGGCGGGAATCGAACTCATGCAGAAGCGGCTTTAGATTCTCAGTGCTGTGCTTTAACCCACTGCGCCACCAGGGAGGGCCAGATGCTATTATTTTATATTAGTCATTAGTTCACAAATTTTGCCAAGGGTAGAGAGAGAAGTATAACAGACTATTGGATAAATATAATACTCTCAGTAATGTGTGTGTTTGTGTGTGATGAGCAAGTATTCAAACTACTTAAAAGATAGTTTTTTTTTTTAAAGATTTATTTATTTGTACATACAGAACTGGGGTACAGGCCAGAGACTCAGGGGCAGTGAGAGACTTCACCAGAGACAGAGTGGGGAGCAGAACAGGCAGATCAACAAAGTACACTGCTGAGAGGAGCAGTGGGCGGGTCAGGAGAGGTCTGCCACGCCATGTGGTTTCCTCCGGGGGCAGGCGGGGATCGAACTCATGCGGAAGTGGCTTTAGCTTCTCAGTGCAGTGCTTTAACCCGCTGCGCCACCAGGGAGGGCCGATAGTTTGTTTTTTTTTTTTTTTTTTAAGTTAACCTCGACTCTTTAGCTATGTAAGAAATAGTAATGAACTATAAAGAAACTTACCAAAGTTTTTTTTTAATGTAACCACAAAATAGCAATGAAGTTGCTATATCTTGTGGGAAATAAAGATATTTCCACTCATAGTCATGAGCCCATTTTCATTACATTACATACATTATTCATATTATTATTGATGAAATGCTAATTGCAATGCTATGTTTGATTATATCCTATAAAGTTTATACTCATTTTACAATATCATTATAGTTATTTGAAAGATACACTATTTTTTTAAACACATTTCGTATAGGATAGTGATAATTTTTAAAAATTTTCTTAAATTTGACAATGGAACAAGCATTTAAAAATCACATTCCAAGGTACTCAAAAGGAAGAACATTAGCCATGATTTATACTTTCCAAACTTTGCCTGTGTTCACGTAAATATAAAAATAAAAATTATATTATTGAAAAGCCAAGGTGATTGTAAATATATTTTACGATTTAAATTTAATAATTAAGGGCAAGTATAATTGTAGTGGTATTCTTCTCAGAATGCAATTAGAGTTTTTGAAACCTTAATATCTTAGCCAAACTTTGAAAATAAAAACTTAATTATCTAAGGGGAATCA